GATCCGTGCCACTTCCCCTAATGGCCCGTCTCTTCCTCCTCCTCCCCCTCCCCTAGGGCGGATCGTCCCCCGGCCTCCCTGTATGTGAGAGACGGGGCCGGCGCCTCGGAGGGAGCCGGGCCGCGGGAGGAGCGGAGGCTTCGGGGAGCGCTTCCTTCCCAGCGCCCGCACCGCCGTGCGCGGCAGCCCCAGCATGGAAGCCATCGCCAAGTACGACTTCAAAGCCACCGCCGACGACGAGCTGAGCTTCAAACGGGGGGATATCCTTAAGGTAAGTGGAGGGTGAGGGCCGGGGAGTTCCCTCTGCCGCCCTGGGCTTGTCAGCTTCTCTCTTGGGTCTCTTCCTGTCCACCAGACCCGACCGCCTTCTGCATCCCCAGCGAACGCCATCTCCTCTTAGCAGGGCACCTCACGATTTCCTCAGTCCCAGCCTGACCTCTTTGAGAGCAGGAGAGTCTGTTTTGTTTCTGTGTTAAGCATGCATCCCAAAGTCTCTCATTTCTCTCTTCTGAGATTGGAATATTTGAAAACTTAGCCATAAACATGGTAGCAAATAAGCAGAAGTACAAGATAATCTCTATGCTGAATTCCCTTCTACAAGAGGAAACCCTGAAAGTAACCAAGATCAATTTGGTATTCCTTTCCTTTGCCTCCTGCCAAGGATTCCAATATCAAAGAACAGCGATTAGATTATTTCTCAGTAGATAATCTTTTAGCATCAGGCTGTCAAATATTGGTGCTGAGTTTTATCTTCAGTCCTGATGAACTCGAGTGATAAGCTTGTGGCTGAATATGTAATGGAACTGTGCAGATATAAGTGGATGTTGGGAGTACATTAGAGGAATTTTGGTCTATAGTTCTTTCAATATAGAAAAGGCTTTTTAGGCTTCATCTTGGCTATATTAAAGGAATTTGACAAATATTTTAATTTCTAAAACTTTATTTTAAAAAAAATGGACACACAGATCAAGCCCAAAATTTTATTTTGGGGGCAGTAGGATATAAAAATCTGTAGTGATTTGGCCTCCGTGAAGCATAGCTCTGAGCTTCACTGCTTCCAAGTAGTAAGAGCCACATTGCAGAATGTTTTAATGGAATTTCATTCAAAGTCAGTGTTTCTTCATAAACATATAAAATGGGCTTTACCTTCCTAGCGTGATGTATTTAGTATTAAAGTATTTTAAGCTGCTGCTTTCTAAAATGCTTTGAGTGGAAACTGTTTTGAGAGGTGCCTATCCTGCAGATGTAAGGCTGTAACTTTGTGTATGCTGACAAATCAAGTCCTGCAGACCTCAGTGGGATTACTCATCTGCTCAAAATTTTTGCCAGGGAAGGGCTTTATTTTAACTAGTGTTTTAAGAGAAGTTGGAAAAAACAACTTCTACGTGTAAACTTAATATGTGTCTTTTGTAGCTGATGTTTCAATAACACAATTGCGGCTTTGTTAAAAGTGCAGTAATAGTGTGTGGCCATCAACAGGTAAAGGTTGCAAAAATGTATCCTGCTTTGCGATTGTTAACTTTTAAAATAATTGCTCGGTATATATCCTTCTCATCCCTGGCCCATAATTGGCCTAAAAATGCCTGTTAGACCTGTACACCTCAATTCCAATGTTTATGTAAATTACCAGAATATTTTCTTTTGCTGTTTTTAAACATTCAAGATGATACTAAATTTTAGAAGTCTTCTGTGATATCGTTGCATTTATTTTTCTTAACCTGAGCTGTATTCTTCTATTTTGGGTTACTGCTAGTTACCCTCAGCTTTTATAGTGTATTTGAAGTAGAGCACAGCTGAAGTCATCTTGTAGAAAATGCTGAACAGGAAAGAAAAATGAAGTATAATGAAATATAGTTTATTTTAAAGTGTAGTCTTAATGGTTTTCATCTAGTTTGGTATAGAAGTTTGCTGAAGTACATGAAAAAATGTCTTGTAAAGTTTTCATTAATTTAAAAATAATTTCACTAAAAATTAAAGGAAAAAGTAACTTTTTTTTAGACTTTTGAAAGTTTAGTCTGTGTTAAAACTCTCATGACTGCACACAGTGGCTGATAGTAAGATGTTCTTGAGTCCTAGCCACTTGATGTCATCCCATAGATACAAATTTTGTCACAATAATAGAAACGTGGTATGTGTGCTATTACACTACATTAATAATTGTATTTTTCCTAGAATACAGAAAGGGATTTTCCTACTCTACGCAAAACCCGGGCTGAACACTTCCTGAAAGTGTTGATGAACAGTTCTTCAAACTGTATTTCCTTTCAGCTTATATTCTGAAAATGCTTACAAATTTTACATATTTTCTTCATAGATGAGTAAACCGAGTCATAGAAATGGTAAATTGCTCAAGAATATCACTAAAGTTAGTGGGAACTCCAAGAGTTTCAGGAATCCTTCTTCAGAACATGGTTAAGATGAATTCTATGCAGCATGGTGAGGTTCGCTGGCTAAAACTGACAGATTTCAGACAAATAAGCCAAAACCAATTAGAATTGTCACAGTTTGCTCAGACTGGCAAACTTCTGTGGCACTTAGTAATTTTGAGAGTCTGGTTTGCTTCAAATGTATTTCAGGTTGTGGAAATTAATTTCCATCGACGTGCCACGTCTGTTTTGCTAGTGCTTTGCTTATGACTGAGAAATCTCAGGGTATCCCATTCATGTGCCTCATGTGACTGGTCTTATTAATCAGGTCAATCCTGCTGCCCTCAAATGAACTGGAAAGAGAAATAAACTTATAACACGTTGAATGCACCTGCACACTTCACTCTTTAGATACCGCTTGCTGAGGCACACACACGTAACTTGACATGTAGTGAAGACTTCCTTAAATCTAGCTATTAGACACCTGTCTTGATGCACCTCTGGGAAGTTGAGGTAGTTGGATGGCATATATAATGATGGCAAAGGATTATTTTCATAGTGAAATGTTATGCTTTGGCCACACAAAGGAAAGACTAAAATCTCTTAACGCTTTAATTCCCACTCCTTGGAAGGCCATGTTGCTCTTTGTGGGGAGAGAAGGCAAAGATGCACACTGTCTAACTCCCCTGATTTCAGCAGATAACTTGCCTATGATGTCATGGTGCCATTACTGCTGCGTACCCACATATTCGGGACTTGACTGAATAGCATTTGCACTGTAGCCATTAAGCTGGTTGTTAGTAATCTTGTGGCTGGTTTCCAAAAGTCAGTGAAGATCGTTGACCTTTGGCTTGCAATTGTAAAACAGATGACTGAAGAGGAAAAGCGCTTGGCCTTCTCTTTTGTGGGCACTACATGGTAAAAGCTGCTTCTATGATTTTTGTAACCCTGGCAGTACACTGGATCCCCTTACGCCTTTGTCTAGTGGCCTATAGCAGTGTGTGGTACTGCCGTTCAGGAGATGCAAACTGACAGCTTTCTTTAAACTTTTAAAATAGGCTAAATACCACTGGCCGAGCCTTTTCCAGAGAAAGGAGAGATTGCTGCTTCCTTCTGTGTCTTCTGATTACAGTATAGTGTTGCAGCTCTCAAGATCACCGTTCCTTTTATGTACTGGTGGCTGCTTCACAAAAACTTGCTGGTGACTGGCATCCTATTGGGGGTGTGAAGATAGCCTGTCCTGTCACTTAAAAAAGTAAAAAAGGGAAACTGAGGGATTCCTACTTGAAATTTTGATTTACTGTTTTTCACTTTGAGTAGTTGATGGTTGTCCCAGTCTTTTCCCCTTTCACTTGCTGTATTTATTGAGATTGGGAGTAATTAACTTCAGTCTCTGTCTGTATTTGATATTCAGGTTTTATGTCCCCAAAAGCTATTGTATTTCTAGCAGATTCTGGTTTTGTCGGCCTTTGTGCTAACTGACAGGTATCCAAACCTAAAGTGCACTAATACTTGCTGGTGGTTTGGTAGGAGCCAGAGTGGGGAGGAGAGAGGAAAAAAACATCATTCTTTCTCTCATCTCATCATCATTTCTTTTCTCTATTCCTCCTACACCTAATCTGAAGTGTACAGTTAATACCATGGTGCTCTGATAACCATTTCTGCATGTTTAAGAAGCATTAAACATATTCATGAATATCTTGAATGTCAGAATTGTGGTTGGTTTCTTTTTTTTAAACTATAGACCACTGCTCCATTTCCTCTTTTTTCCTTCTTCTGTTGTAGGGTTTGGGGCATAGCTGAAGAGTGATCTTCTGAAGGACTGAATAAGTTCCTGTTCCCAGTAGTTGTAGCATAATTAATTCAGGGACACTTACAGATTATTTTTGAGTAAAATTATTCAGGTGGTGTTTTAAAAAGAGGGCCATCATCTTTAATGTTGGGGTTTTTGCTTTTGTGTGACACGCAAACCAGTTTCCCTGTATGGTAAAATAAGGAATTCCTTGATAGGATTTTGATCACTTCATGATTTCGCTCAGCAAAGTCAAGATTTTTTTTTCCTACTCTGACCATACACTTGATAGTCACCACAGGTTCTGTTCATGTGATTATTTGCCACCAGACTTATTTTCTTTCTGTTAGCCTTTAAGAGGATTGAGTGTTTGCAAACAGTTGATGCTGAGATAGCATTTTCAGTTCCTGCATGAAAAACATTTTTTTTTGTGTCTTGGATACAGTGAAACAGTTTTGAATAGAGGGAGGAGTATGATAACAAGGGGAGCACGGCCTCCCTTCTCTTCTTCCTCATCCCTTGTCTTTGACCTCACCTGCATTGGTTGTTATGCTGCGCGGTCTGCTCTGGAGAACAGAATTTCATGGCTTGCTAAAGAGTAGTGCAAAGACTTCCTCTGTTTTGGGAGAAATTGTCTTCATTCTCATCCTTCTCCCTTCCTCACACAACTCCTTCGCCCTTCCCCGTTTTTTGTAAGGGGATGAATAATTCAGTGTGGTCTTGATGATTTTAATATGTGAGAAATGGTTTTCTGAATTAATGATTCGGGCAAATTGCAAACACTGTGTGCTTTATAGTGAAATAGGTTAAACAGGTTGCCCAGGGAAGTTGTGGAATCCCCATCTTTGGAGATACCTTAGCACTCTGATCTAATTAGACTTGGTTTGAGCAGGAGGGTGGGTTGGGTGACTTCCAGAGGCCCTCCAGTGTATGTTATTCTGTGACTTAGCTGTGAGTGGCCACTCTGTTGTGTGTGATGGTTGATTTGTAAAGGTGTGCTTAGGTCACGTTCCTTGGCGGGCGGCTTTGAATGAAGATGACACTTGTCATCAATATGTGATCAATATTGCAGTCTAAGACAACAAAACTGTCAGAAAAATACAGAGACTCATA